AATGACAGTTGTATCAAGGAAAAGTTAAAAGAGGAAATTGTTAAATTCCTCAAAAATAACAACAATGAAGCTACAAGCTACCAAAACCTATGGGATACTGCTAAGGCAGTAGTAAGAGATAAATTTATCACATTTGATACCTACATCCAAAAAACAGAAAGGACACACATTAACAACCTAATGATTCATCTCAAGGAAAAGGAAGAACAATCCAATCACAAACCTAGCAGAAGAAAAAAAAATAACCAATATTAAATTAGACACAAATTAAATTGAAAATAAAATGATCATTCAAAAAATTAATGAAACAAACAGTTGGTTTTTCAGAAGGATAAATAAAATTGATTATCTTTTGTACACATGAAACAGAAAAGTAAAATCTCTAATAATCTCAATCAGAAATAGAAAAGGAGAAATAACAACAAATACCACAAAGATACAAGAGATTACCTTTGACTACTACAAGAAACTTTATGTCCAGAAATTTGACGATGATGAAATGGACCAATACCTGCAAGCACACTATCTTCGTAGACTTCACCAGGAAGAAACAGATCTCTTGAATAGCCCAATATCAAGCACTGAAACAATAAAAATGTTCTTCAAAATATCCTGAATCAGATGTTTTCGCACCAGAATTGCACCAAACCTTTAAAGAAGAGCTTGTGCTAATACTGCACAATCTATTCCAAAACATTTAGAAGGAAAGAGACTTACCAAACATGTTCTGTAAAGCAATCATAACCTTGATAGAAAAACCAAGAAAGGATTCAACAAAAAAGAACTATAGACCAATGTCACTAATTAATGTTGATGCAAAAATACACAGTAAAATCTGAGCTAATAGATTTAGCTACACATTAAAAAAATTATGCATTATGATAAAGTAGGCATCACTCCAGGGATGCAAGGCTGGTTTTCACTTATGTAAATTTATAAATGTAATTGACCATATTAGTGGAAGCATAAACAAGTATGATATGATCCTCTTAATACATGCATCATTGCCAAGAACTCAGTTTTCTTTTAAGAGACAGAGTCTCATTTTATTGCTCTTGGTGGAGTGCTGTGGTGTCACAGCTCACAGTAACCTCCAGCTCTTGGGCTTAGGCAATCCTCTTGCTTCAGCCTCCCTAGTAGCTGGGACTACAGGCACCTGCCACAATTCCTGGCTATTTTTTATTGCAGTTTGGCTGGGGTCAGGTTCGAACCTGCCACCCTCGGTATATGGGGCTGGCACCCTACTCACTGAGCCACAGACACTGCCTGCCAAGAACTCAGTTTTAAGAATTTTCTGGATCTCCTTCAGTTAAGACAGGGTCCACTTGGTATGCAGTAGTCCTTTTTTTCTTTTTTTTTGTAGAGACAGAATCTCACTTTATCACCCTCGGTAGAGTGCTGTGGCATCATTCTGTTCACAGCAACCTCCAACTCCTGGGCTTAGGTGATTCTCTTGCCTCAGCTTCCCGAGTAGCTGGGACTATAGGCATCTGCCACAATGCTTAGCTATTTTTTGGTTGCAGTTTGTCCAGGGCTGGGTTTGAACCTGCCACCCTCAGTATATGGGGCCAGCACCCAGCCCACTGAGCCACAGGCATGGTATGTACTTAAAGTTTTTATTTTTAGTTTATGCTCAGAAAAGATTAAATAATTTAATCATATTTAAACATATCCTTCCATATTTACTAAAGTCAATTCTAGTAACATACAAATTCATAAATGTAATTCACCATATCAATAAAAGCAAAAACCAAGACCATATGATCCTCTCAATAGATGGAGGATAAGCATTTGACAAGATTCAGCAGGGTTTTCTAACAAGAACACTTAATATAATAGGCATAGGTGGTACATTTCTTAAGCTGATTAAAGCCATCTATAATAAACCTACAGCTAACATCAAATTGAATGGAGTAAAACTGAAAGCTTTTCCACTTAGAACTGGAACTAGACAAGGATGTTCACAATTGACAGTATTAGTCAACATAGCGCTAGAAATTCTAGCCAAAGCAATCAGGCAAGAGAAATTAAGGGCAACCAAATCGGGGCAGAAGAGGTCAAACTCTCCCTTTTTGCTGATGATATGATCTTATACTTAGAAAATCCCAGACTCAACCACAGACTCTTGGACATGATCAGGAAATATAGTAATGTCTCAGGATATAAAATCAATGTCCACAAATCAGTAGCCTTTGTATATATATACCAATAACAGCTAAATTGAGAAGTAAATCAAAGACACAATTTCCTTCGCAGTCGCTTCAAAGAAGGTGAAATACCTAGGAATATACTGAACAGAAGAGCTGAAATATCTCTACATACAAAATTGTGAAACCCTAAGAAATAGCAGAATACATTAAGAAATAGAAGAACATACTGTGCTTGTCCCTGGGAATAATCAACACTGTTAAAATGTCTATACTATCCACAGCAATGTACAGATCAAATGCAATCCCCATTAAAATATCAACATCATACGTTGAAGAACTCAAAAAAAAAAATAGTTCATTTTGCATGGATGCAGAAAATACCCTTTAGAGCCAAGGCAATTCTTAGTGATAAAAACAAAGCTCGAGGCATCACACTACCAGACTTCAGGTTGTATTACAAGTCCACAATGATCAAAACAGCTGGTATTGGCGCAAAAACAAAGACATAGACATTTGCAAAAGAATAGGAAAACCACGAGATAAAATCAGTATCCTATTTACATGTGATCTTCCATAAATCAAACAAAAGCATACACTGGGGAAAAGAATCCCTACTCAACAAATGGTGCTAGGAGCACTGGATAACCACATGTAAAAGACTGAAACTGGACCTACACCTTTCATCAATTAAATAATTGACTCAAGATGAATATAAGATTTAAATCTAAGACATTAAATCATAAAATTCCTAAATAAAATTTAGGAAAAACTCTTGATGATGTCATAATGGGAAAGATTTTATAAAGAAGACTTTATTAGTAACTGAAGTGACAACAAAAATAAACAAATGGGACTTAATTAAACTGAAAGGCTTCTGCACCACTAAGGATGCAACAATTAAAGCCAATAGCCAACCTTCACAATGGGCAAAGATATTTGCATGTTATGAATTTGACAAAGGTTTGATAACTAGAATCTACAGACAACTCAAATTAATCAACAAAAAAGAGAAAAAATCTCATTTGTTACTGGGCAAGAAACATGGACAGAACCTTCTCTGAAGAAGACAAATGAATGGCTAACAAATATATGAGTAAATTATCATCATTTCTAATCATTGGAGAAATGTGAATCAAAGTTACCCTTACATATCACCTAACCCTGGTGAGAATAGACCCCATCAGAATGTCCCAAAGCTGGAGATGCTGGCATGGATGTGGAGAGAAGCAGACACTTAAAATGTTGCTGGGACTGCAAACTAATACAGCCTCTTTGGAAAGAATTATGGAGAATCCTCAAAGAACTCAAAGTTTACATCTTTTACATTAACCTGGATGGAGCTGAAGCACATTCTTGTTAATAAAGTATCACAAGAATGGAAAAGCAAGTATCCAATGTACTTAATACAATTATGAAGCCATTAGTTGATCTAATACACACCCACATAAAATAAAAACTCAATTAAATTCAAGGTGGGGGAGGAGAAGTGAGAGAGGGGTAGAGGGAAGTAGGGAGGGTATTGGTGTGCTCCCACTTAATGGGCCCAATGTAAGGGTATACGGTACACTCTTGGGTGCAGGACACAACTTCTAGAAGGATACTACCTAACATATGCAAATATCACAACCTAGTTGTTTGTACCTTCACATTAACTTGAAATTTAAAAAAAAGAGAATATTACAAATTTAATATAGTTTCTTATTTCTTAAAATGTGTATATATTTTTTGGCCCCCTCTGTATACACACATTTACTATCATTCCTTGGCATCTGTGGGGGAGTGGTTCTAGGACTCCTCTCTCCCTGCGGATACCAAAATCCATGGATGATCAAATCTCTGATATAAAATGTTATAGAAATTTTATCTAGTTACATATATCTTCTCCGATATCTTAATTATTGTAGATAATCTCTGTAGATAAGATCACATGTAAATAAGATGTGATTTCTATAAATTGTATAGAAATTGTATCTAGTTACACATATCTTTTCCTATATTTTAATTATCTGTAGATATTCTCTGTAGATAAGATCATATGTAAATAAGATACTGGTTTCATGGATGATCAAATCTCAGATATAAAAAGTTATAGAAATTTTATCTAGTTACACATATCTTCTCCTATATTTTAATTATCTATAGATAGTCTCTGTAGATAAGATCACATGTAAATAAGATACCGATTTCATCTCTTATATTACATAACACAATATAAGTACTATGGAATGCTATGCAAATTGTTATAGCATTTTTTTTTGTAATGTTTTTGATCTCTGGTTAGTTGAATATGTGGATGCATAACCTTGTAGATATAATGAATGAGTGAGTATACTTAGCTTGAGTTAAGTGAAGGATCTCCTTTTTCAGATAAGGCACATGCCCTCCAGTCCAACACAATCATCACCAGGTCTAATTTACTTATTTATGTGCACATTTTTTTCTAGTGTGAACAAAGTTGTGTTATAGGGTATTGGGTGGCACTGAACTCCAGATTCTGCTTTAATTTCACCTGATTTAAATTGATTTTGTGCTTTTCCATGCTCAAGAAAACCTGTGAGACTCTGGTAGTAAGGAAACAACAAACATCTTAGCCACCTTCATCTTTACTTTAGTATCATGACTTCACAATTACAAGAACCCCACATTCAGAAAGACACCAGGATTAGTGTTTTCTAGGCTGCTTTTATAAAAGTTGCCTTATAGTAGAAACAAGTCATAGGGGTGAAAACCATCAGTGGGGCCTGTGCTTATGGATATAAAGGAATAAGTCTTTATTTCAAGACTTCCCTCTCTTCAAATCCTTCAGAAATTCTGTGGAGGGGAGTTGGGGATGTGATGGGGGGAGCAGACCTGTATGGATTCTGCGGTGAGCTTTCAGGTGAGAGCTTTTGGTATACACTTTGCTGCATCCTACAAAGTCACATTGGTGAATTCGTCTTCTCTTCAAGTCAAATGATTCTTCTCTGTGCATTTGGGCCATTGTTGTTGTTCTGAGCAAAGAAATATAGACAAAGCCAAAGAGTGACTTTAAAATGAAGGCTAAAGAAACAGACTTACATAAAGTGTTGCCACCTCATATCTGCTTTTAACTTATGAAAATTGAACACTAGGTACCCAAGAGAAGAAATAATTAGAAAAATGCAAACATTCTCTGTACTAAGCTATTCTGTTCAGTAAGGGCAGATCAGTGCTCAGTAGGGAAGATAGCATGGGAGGTGGGAATGATTCTTAGAGTGGCTGTGTTCCCAAACAGCATGAACATTTCATCTCAATAAGTCTCATTTTGTGCTTAAAGAAATATATTTTTTATACAACATGGTAGCTAAACACAAGCCACTACTTCCAATTAATTCCAACAAAGGAAGACAAGGCCATTTCAAATTTACAGAGAGAAAGAGTACAGAACTACATTTTATGGGAAATTTGAAGATTTTTTTTTTTAAGGATACACGCATGTATGCATGCATAAATATTGATGTGTGTGCACACAAATTTATATACCTTCACCGGGAAGGCAGTTTACCTATATTTTGTTATCTTCAAATCCTTACTCTTATGTTTGATAATTAAACTGGTTCCACCCCTATGTATGTTCATGTGCAAATGTACATGTGTACTTTTACACACATGTACCCATGTACAGAGACAGACCTGAAGTAAAGATGAAAAAAAGAAGTACTCACTCTTGCTGTAGTCTCTGCAGACTCTGTAAGGCTGAGAATCCACTCTCGGTTGCACTCTCCTCACTGTCACTTTGAATCTCAAGTGGAGACATGAAGGTAGGGTCAACTTTCACTAAAAGTAAAGAAGAAAGGGAGCAGTATGGGCCAGAAATATATGAGCCCCAGTAATCATTATCAGGATTTCCAATTGAGTTACATTTTGAAATGAAAGGAAGACAGAGAAATAAAAATTAAAAGGCAAAAATGAAAGAAGAATATTTGTATAGAATGAAGAGAATAACATTTTAATTATTAGCATAGCAAGGAATAGAAATGCCTTTGAGGAAAGAGAGATATGACGCATTTTGTACTAGTATGTGAGTTTCTCAAGGATAGGCTCTACGTACAATCAATCTATTTCCAGCTGCCAGATCAGAGTCTGCTGAAAAGTTTATTTCAATATGTGTTAGATGAATTGAAATCTCTGGATAAGTTCCCTGGCTGTCCTAAAATCAATTCTTAGGATGACTCCAGAGGTGAGAACATCTCCTTTAGCCTTTGTGCTCCTAAATGGAAATGAGTCAATGAAATAAAACATGTACCTAGCACCCAATAGGTGCTTAATATATATTAGCACCCTTTCTTTCCACTTATGTTTGGAGAAAACTTCAAATGATGTTTCTAATTTCAAACAAAACTCAATCAGGTGGTCAGCAGTCTCCAAGATCCAGCAAAAGCTTCAAAATTTCTGTATAGAAAAAGTTTGAGGGTGTTGATAAAGTGAAAGGGGGCTGTCACCAGTGTAATTGTTTCTATATTTTATATATCATTAACTAAAAAATTTTAAACATAAATTGTGATGCAAAGATATGTATGGCATAAGTCTACTAGTATCCTATAATTGTTTGTACATTAGGCAAAAAAAGAAACAAAAAGTCACCTCACCCCACTCATAATGGCTATTATCAAAAAGACAAAAGATAACAAGTGTTGGCAAAGATGTAGAGAAAAGGGAAAAGGGGAGTCTTGGGTGGTGCCTGTGGCTCAGTGAGTAGGGCACTGGACTCATATACCAAGGGTGGGTGGTTCAAACCCAGCCCCAGCTAAACTGCAACAACAAAAACAAAATAGCCGGGTGTTGTAGTGGGTGCCTGTAGTGCCAGCTAATCAGGAGGCTGAGGCATGAAAATCACTTAAGCCCAAGAGGTGGAGGTTGCTGTGAGCTGTGACACCATAGCACTCTACCAAGGGCAACAAAGTGAGACTCTGTCTCTTAAAAAAATAAAGGAGGGGGATGGGAAGGGAAGGAGGTGATTCAATAGAGGGAGGATTAATGGTGGGACCACACCTATAGAGCATACTGAAAGAGTACAAGTCAAATCTATCAAGTATTGAACACAAATGTTTTAACACTGTGATTAAGTAAATGAGGTGAAAGCTATATTAATTAGTAGGATGTAAGCACTCCAATTTGTACAAATAATAAACACATTGAATTTCACAAAGGCATAAATGTATTCATTATGGAAAACAGTATGAAGATTCCTCAAAACATTAAATACATAACTACCATACAATCTAGCAATTCCATTTCTGGGCATATATCCAGAGGAAATTAAATAAGTATAATAAAGATATCTGTATACCTATGTTAATTATAGTGATATTTACAACAGACAAGATATGAAAACAACCTACGTGTACATCAAAGGATGCATGAATAAAGAATATACATACCAATATATAGAATATATATCAATATATGTGGAGAGCGAGCCATGAGGAAGCAGAGTCCCCATGGTGTGAAAGACGTTTAGGGAACAACCTTCAGCTGCTTTCCTCGGGCTGAGTCAACATGCTTTTCCTCCTCTTAAAATAACATGATTTTCTCCTTCTTAGATATTTTTCCAGAAGTCACATATCTCTTTCTTTAAAGAGATAGTTAATCTTTAGAAACTATGCAGAAAACTACGTGGCCCTTCCCTTTTATTTCTTATCTTTAACATATGCTAACGATGTTATACAGTAAAAACCATTAACAGCATAAATTGTTCTTGATAAAGTTATCTACATTTCCCAATCATATTGTAAGACCAAAAATATGTTTTTTGTCTAAGCTACTTCCTCATAAACAACCCTCCTTAGATACTATAAAATAAAGCTGATTTTGTATTTTGGCTCTAGGTGCCATTGTGACTGCTCCAGACCTTCTGATCCCATCCTTGTCCCTTGTATCTTTTCTCTCATTCCCCACCAATCCCACTCTGGTTTGTTCTCTTTCTCTCTGGTTTATGATAAATATACACACAATGGAATAATTCTGAACAGACCAATAATGAATAGTAAGATTGAATTACTAACAAGAAATATCCCAACAAAAATTCTCACCCAGGACCAGTGTGACTAACAGCCAAATTATATCAGCTATAAAAAGAAAAACTGGTACCAATTGTACAGAAACGTTTGAGAAAGTGGGAATCCCTTCTTATTCACTCTAAAAGCCAGTATCACCCTGGTACTAAAGCCATAAAAGGACCCAACAACAAAAGAAAACTAGAGATGAATAATTTGACAAACTTAAATGTAAAACCTTTCCACAAAATAGCATAAAACCAGGCTAGGCACAGTGGCTCATGCCTGTAATACTAGCACCCTGGGAGGCTGAGGCAGGTGGATCACCATAGTGTAGGAGTTTGAGACCAGCCTGAATAAAAACAATACTCCATATTTACTAAAAACAGAAAAATTATCCAGGTGTTGTTGGGAGTGCCTGTAGTCCCAGCTATACAGAAGGTTGAGGCAAAGGTATCAACTGGGCCTAAGAGTTTAAAGTTGCTTTGAGCTAGACTGAGGCCATCGCACTCTACCCAGGGAGCAGAGTGAGATTCAGTATCAAAAAAAAAAGAATAGAATAAAAACAAACCCAACACCATATGAAAAAGTCAAGGATCACAGTCAAGTGAGTTTTATACCATGGATTCAAGGGTGAGTCAACGCATGCAAGTCAGTAAATGTGATTCAACACATAATAGAATTTTAAAAATCATCTCAATAGATGCAGAAAAAAATTCAATAAAATTCAACATCACCTTCATGATAAAACACTCAAAAAACTAGGAACAGAAGGAACATACCTCAAAATAATACTGGTCATATTTGACAAACCCAAAGCTAACATCACACTTAATGGAGAAAACTTGATATATTACCCCTAAGAATGGAACAAGAATGCCCACTGTCATTACTTCTATTCAACGTAGTACTGGAAGTATCGTAAGCAGAGCAATCAGGCAAGTAAAAAAAAAAAAAAAAAAAAAAGGGCATCCAAATTGAAAAAGAGAAAGTCAAATTACCTGTTTGCTGATGATATGACCTTTACCGAGAAAACTTTTAACAATTTCTCTAAAAGCCTCCTATGTTTGATCAATGAATTAAGTGTCATAATACAAAATCAAGGTACACAAATCAATAGAATTTCTGTACACAAATTGTGGCCAAACTGAGAGCCAAATCCATTTATAATAGTAGCAACAATGAAAAAGATACCCAGCCATAAATTTCACCAAGAGTTCAAGGAAAACTACACTAAACACTGTTGAAAGATGACAAAAAAAAATGTAAAAAAAATCCCGTACTCATGGATTGAAAGAATCAATATTGTAAAAATGACTACAGTTCCCCAAGCAATATGCAGATCAAATGCACTTCCTTTAAAAATTCTAACATCATTATACACAGAATTTTTTTAAAACTGAAATTCATATAGAACCCCCCCCCCAAAAAATAGCCAAAGCAATCCTAGGGAAGAAGAATAAAACCAGAAGCATCACATTAATTGACCTCAAATTATACTGTCAGGCTGTCATAACCAAATTGGCATGGTACTGGTATAAAATAAATACATCAGCTCAGCGCCTGTGTCTCAAACAGCTAAGGCTCCAGCCATATACACCTAAGCTGGTGGGTTTGAATCCAGCCCGAGCCCGCCAAACAACAATGATGGCTGCAACCAAAAAATAGCCAGGCGTTATGGTGGGCACCTATAGTCCCAGCTACTTGGGAGGCAGAGGCAGGAGAATTGCTTGAGCCCAGGAGTTGGAGGTTGCTGTGAACTGTGATGCCACAGCACTCTACCCAGGGTGACATCCTGAGGCTCTGTCTCAAAAATAAAATAAAGTAAAATAAAATAAAATAATATAAAATAAAATAAACACATCAATCAATGAAACAGAAGAAAGGATCAAGAAGGGAAGGTATATATTTACAACCAACTAATCTTTTTTTTTTTTTTGCAGTTTTTGGCTGGAGCTGGAGCCAGGCTTGAACTCACCACCTCCGGTATATAGGGCTGGGGCCCTACTCCTCTGAGCCACAGGTGCCACCCACAACCAACTAATCTTCAATGAAACAGACAAGAACATACACTAGGGAAAGGAAACTCTTCAATAAATGGTGCTGTAAAAAAAAAATTGGATAAGTTATACACACACACAAAAAATTGAGATTGGATTTCTTTTTCTCACTATGCCCAAAAATCAACTCAAAATGGATTAAAATTTAAAAGTAAGACCTGAAAACATAAAAATTCTAGAAGAAATCCTTTTGACTAATATCTCAAAAGCAAATGCAATAAACACAAAAATAAAATGAAAATTAAACTAAAAGGCTTCTGCACAATAAAAGAAAAAATGAACAGAATGGGAGAAAATAATCATGAATTACATATGATGGAATACTGTTTTGTCATGAAAAAGAACAAAATCCTGCTATTTGTTACAAAATAGATTAAACTAGAGAACATTACACTAAGTAAAATCAGCCAGGGATAAGAAGACAAACAACCTGTGATCTCACTCACCTGTAGAAACGAAAAATGTTGATCCTGTAAAAGTAGAATGGTGGTTACCAGAAGTTGGGATGGTTAGGGAAGATAGAGTATAAGGAGATGTTTGCCAAAGAATACATAATTATTGTTAGGAAGAGTACATTTCAATAGATCTATTGTACAGCAAGGTCACTACAGTTAATGATGTTATATTTTCTTTATAGAAAATTAGAGTTATTTGCACGAATGAAGTTTAAACTATTCGTTACTTTCAAATATAAAGAAACACCCACACATAGATTCAAAAG